TATTCTCGATTAAAACTCAATAATCTCTACAAACCTTTATTGATAAATTCCGATGCATTTTCTTTTCATTTCACTCTACTAAATAAACTATCTTGATTAAATCTGTTGTCATATGAAACTATTTAAAACTACATCGAAAAATACCAAAATGACGTCATTCTTGTTTCGACAGAATATAAACTTTATATCTATAGTATTATAAACTAAGATTATGAGATGCGACAGACAATACTTGTTCAAATAGTATGAAATAGTATCTTTATCAGACGAGAGTTTTGTGGAGATACTAGTTAATTAATAGTTGAATTCATAAGGCAATTGAAACTAGACCACCATGAAAGACCTGGAAGTCCCAGACGGTTGTTTCATCCAATGGATGGGAACTGATGAGGAGTCTCATACTAGGACGAAACTGTCGTTTAGTGCTTCCAGGTTTTTCATGATGGTCTAGCTTCAATTGAATCATGATCTCAACTATTCAATATCATCTTTGTTCATGATTATTAGTTTTGAAATTACAAGTCAAACTGATATTAATTATTGTGTGTATCCGATTAAATGTTTGATTCCAATAATATTCAGGTAAGCATAATATTGAATCTGTTTGTAGAATTTTTAACTGACTTATGCCTAGTACTGAGATCCTAAAATGAACAACATATAGATAAAACCAAAGACTGATGATGATTTATTTGGCTTCCAATATAAATTAAAAATGTATTTGCATATAAGAACTTTTATATGATACTTTTACAATCTCAATAGTTGAAATCATGAATCAATTGAAGCTAGATCATCATGGAAAACCTGAAATCACTGGACGGCTGTTTCGTCCTAGTATGCGTCTCCTCAGCAATGCGCATCCACGATCCACAATCAGATTAACAATTAAATTTATATGATTTGACTGAGTATTATTGACATCAATTAATCAGTTGTATACTAGGGGAACATATATTTGTAATATCTTATTGATTAACTTTTATAATGACTTGATTTTATTCTTTCGGCTTTGTTATAGCATGTAATAGAATTGTATGTTGCCGCCAACTGTATTTATAAATTTACGTGTACCTGCCAAAGCAGTTATATTAACCGAACAGAAAGAAGGGCAAATTTTAGTCTTTTAGCATGTTTCAAAAAGCATCAGAACAAAAAAAAGAAAGATTCTAAATAGTGCATTAACCGAACATCTCCTGGATACAGTAAATTAGGTCGATACCTTGCAGTCTTTCAAGGTGATTAATAAACAGCCAAAATACAATCTTCTGAAGTGTGTTGAAGCCGTTATTTTATTTTTATTTGAACACATTGATATTGGTACAAGGAGGCTATGATACTTCCCGGGTGCCCAAACAGAAACAGAAAGTTTTCTTAGCAAGCTACACCCGAAATCTTCGACCTAAAGGTCTGATCTACAACGCAGTGAAGCATCTTAAGGAGATGCAGTCCCATGATTGTCAGTTACCAACAATTATGTTTTAAATATCACAGGTTTTAAACAGATGAAAAGAGCCAACGAAATAAAATGAATTCATGCTATTCTAGTAGAATCTTTGTTCTTGCTTTTTTCTAAATGATAAAGGGAACTATGTACAAGAACTGTTTATAGAAAATATCACAACAATTGATAATACCTCAAACAGTAATGAATAGTTGCCATGCCACTAATGTTGTTCAAAAATTATTATAAATTCCTTTAATTGTTACTGGTAATATAATCTAAAATAATCGTTTCGTCATATTTTGAGCTTCTTTAGTTGGATTCAAATATACCTGTGTTAATGTTCACATTGCAACTTGAAACCGGCGCATATTATATCCATTGGCAGTATGTTATCTAATAGACTGTTAGGTCCAGATGGCCAATACCTGATTCAACTTGTAATTAAAATGCTTTATCAAAGTAATTCACCATCCTATCATATATTTAAGTACCTCTCAGTAAATGAGAGGACAGAAATTCTGAGGCAAGTCAATAACAAGTAATCATGTTGTCATCAATAAAGGTATACCTTGATTGACAACCTTGTGAAAAGTGAAATATATTAAAGACGATTTAGTTCATTTGCAAAAACATAGCTTTACTGACAACCTGAAAAGTGATTGTTAAATCTGATATAACACCACAGTTTTTCCGTAAAATCTAAACATAGTGAAGCATAACGTGTATCTTATTAAGAAATAAATATAACCTTTTGATTATATAGTTCTTAAAGTGCTTAAAATTACCAAATATATCTTTTATGCACACATATAGTTAGTCTTGTACAGTTTACAAGCTTAATTACAAGGAATATATGCTGGTGATATGAATAATATCTGAAATCATATTACTTATTCTTATTTTTTTCTTACAACCAGATACTTTTCACTTTGGCTTATATGTTACTCAGGGTCGTAAGCAAAGTATATTTTCACTGTTAAACTATATTTTTAAATAAAAAGGAATTTCACTATTGCTAAACTAACATTAAGGTTATTACTTACTTACTTACTTAATTCTGATACACTTCTTGAAGGAGCATTGACCAACCACCAATACACTACATCCAACCCTGTCTCAAGCAATCCCTTCCAGCTATTTCTAGTTGTTATTCATCCTTTTCATATCTGCTTCCATTTTCTGACGTAATACTTTCTTTGGTCTTTTACTTTTCCGCTTCACATCAGGATTCCAAGTTAATGCTTGCCTCGTGATGCAGTTTAGTGATTTCAGTAATGTGTGTCCTATCCACTTACAACGTCTTTTCCTAATTTCCTCTTCACTTGGAATTTAGTTTGTTCTCTCCCACAGAAGGCTGTTACTGATGATATCCAACCAATGGATGTTGAGTATGTTGCGTAGACAACTATTTATAAATACTAGTACCTTCTCGATGATGATTGTAGTAGTTCTCTTAGTTTCAGCTCCGTACAGTAGAACTTTCTTGACGTTCGTATTGAAGATTGTGACTTTGATATTGGTTGAGAGTTGTTTTGAATCCCATATGTTCCTCAATTGTAGGAATGTGGCCATTGCTTTACCAATTCTCACTTTTACATCTGCATCCGATTCTCCTCCTTCATCAATGATGCTTCCCAGTTATATGAAAATTTCCACATCTTCCAAAGTTTCTTCATTAAGTGTGATTGGGTTGGTTGGTGTTCTCCATGTTGTGTTTGAGGACCTTACTTTTTCTTTCATGTATATTGAGGCACATGTTACTTTGAAAAGAAAAAACAAACACTCCAACCAGATTAAACAAATGAAGACTATTAGTGAGGTATATTTCATCCAACTCCTGGATACTGTTTTCGATTATTCATCAGTTGAATAATTTAATCAATACAATAATGTTATTCAATTCAAATACATTGTATTTAATTTACACAAAATATAATCCAATTTCATTTACTCTATTTTTATGTCTAGTTTATTCAGACAAAATGAAACGTTTCGTAAACTATACTTTTATTTACAGTATACACTAATACTGATTATATACTTATGTTTTGTCTTGTCTCCCTAAATCTAGTTACATTTATACGTTATTCAATTAACCTTAATCAAATCAGTAATTACATTGAAACAGTGTGAGTTGGTATTTATGTTGTTCTACTCAATCCTTTTTTTTATGGCTTATTTGCTTTCTCTGTTTTTGTGGTATTTCAATAAGAACCTACTAGTATTTGAAGTTTTGTTCTGTGAGCTGGATGGTTTGATCGTGGAGCTTTCATCGTTCTTTTGAACGACATCATCCACCTAAGCTATAAATCTTCTCCACCACCCACTAGTGTCTTATCACAAATTTAAAACTAGAGATTCAATCATATTTTGGTTCACCGATATTACAATATTTTAAAGAGTTCAACCGAGTCTGTTATGAGAAAGTAACTCACTGAAGACAATGGTGGATGTGTCGTTCAGCTTCGTGGGTTGGTTGAAATTAGACATTAACAACGTTGGTTGCTGTCTCAATAGTTTAAAGGTTAAGCACTCGCGCGAAAGACCGACGATCCTGGATTCAAATCTCACCGTGGGGATCGTGGATGTACACTGTTGATGAGTCCCGTACTAAGACGAAACGGCAGTCCAGTTTTACCATGTTTTTCATAGTGGTCTAGCTTTAATTGACTCATGAACTCAACTATTAAATTTTAAGGAGACACGTTATATTCCATTTGGAACTATATGTCTCTGTAATATCAATGTACTCATAGTTCCGAACATTGGTATACTTACTAATAAACTACTGAGTTACTGAAATCTCATTTTAAGTACTATTCAAAACACATAGATATTGACTAGTGATGTATATATATGTATATATACCCAAATATAGATAATGAAAACAAATTTTGTTTTGCACATCTTTTGCTTGAACATCTGAGTTACCTGTCCTTGTCATTTAGATATTTTTATACAACATCGTGTCTATTAATCGCGCAACCTATTCAGATGGTATTCAGACCAGGAAACTTGTTGAAATACTTTATGTTATATCCCGATGAGGATAATGAATAGTAACTGTTGGGATCTATTTATGAACTAATATTATGCATATATTTTTATTGTATAATTGTTAAGTAACTAAACTATTCATAATCGTGTTCCTCTTATTATGAGCTTTGTTTTGACCTATGGATCATTATTATACAAATTATCATTCTTGAGTTATGCCTGGTCTATCAATTACTACCTCCCACATTCACAGACACTTTTGGCTAAATCTTGTACAAATGTTATTTTTTATTTTATTGTACGATCTGGTCTGTTTGGTTTGTATATAAATCCAGTATATTTGAGGCAGAGCTAGGCAGGAAGCAGGATCAATAAGGACTATAGACTGCTCGTACGGGTTTTAAGCATCATTGATCTGGTTGATAAATCACTGTTCTCTAATTAACGGTATCATCACTTTATACATTAATAGGACACAGAGAACAAATTATAACACTTTATGCTGAAAGTTCTATATTGTACCAAAAATAAATTATTGATTAAACTTACAACAACAATGACAACAACAACAACTACTACTACTACTAATACTACCACCACCACCACAACAACAACAACAACAACTACTACTACTACTACTACTACCATTACAACAACAACTACTACTACCACTACCACTACTAATACCATCACTACTACTACTACCACTACCACCACCACTACTACTACTAGTACTAATAATAATAATAATAATAATAATAATAATAATCAAATTATAATTTCCATTTCATTTAATGCATAAAATCTATAAGTAATTGTAATATATCTCACTTGGAAAAAAATTCTCATTACGTTTTTTCCCTTCTTTAATTAATTAGTTAATTAAATTCCAACGTCTACCAACTGTTGAATTATTTCATTACACGTTTTCATTCAAGATTGTTTCTCTTTCTCTCCCTCTCTCCCGCTCCCTCTCTCTCTCTCTCTATAATAAATGAATTATGTTTGTCTGTGTTTTTTTTTCTTGGTAAATAACTGGGTTTATTTTTTATCATAAAACATACAAAACTATAAACTGGATATTGTTTACTTGAATCAATATAGACAGTGAACAATAACATTCACAAATTTTTTTTGGGGGAAAAAATGATCAAATTACGTCATAAGGAGTGTTCAGATAATTGGACCGTAAAGTATATATTTGATAAAAGAAAAGAATGGGGTGGGTGGGTTGAAGAAAAATAAATGAAAAATAATAATAAATAAAATTCAGGAGAGAGAGAGAGACAGATAAAAGTGTTATATATTTTTTATATGAACACAAGAATAAGTTACCTGTTTATGTCAATTCTATGTGTATCAACGAACTCAGCTGCTTTTGTGGAGAAAGCTAAATTGGGAGCAATACCAGACAACTGAATCGAAGAGTTAGTGAACACCTCTCTTCGTGGATAGGAAAAAGTACTGTCAACTTTCTATTACAATTGATAGGTAGCGGTAGTGTATTAGATAAAAATAAGTCAGTTAAAGTTATTAATCATATTCCTACTAGCTTCCCTTATGGGATTCGATCTCGTCTGTTACATACAGCAGAAGTTATAGGAATTCGAGCCAATAATCCAAGACTTGTGTTCATAAGAAATTTGTAATAACCTTATCTCTCCTTTGGCCTTAATAAATGATTTTGTTTATTATTATTTTCCAGACTCTTTCTTCGGTTATTTTTCTTCACAACCTCCTACCATTTTGTTTTTCTCTCAAATATACGTTTCACAGTCCAATTATCTGAACACTCCTTATGACGTAATCTTATAATTTTTTTATTTATGAATGTTATTTCAATAAAGATAGATAGTGGCTAGCGGTGAAACACATAATGAGCGTTTCATCATGTTTAGGACTCGACAGTTAGATGTACCTGCATTCCAGAATTGATGTTCACTCCGGAAATCAAACCCAGTACCATTCGCTTAAAACGCCATCGTGTTATCCACTTAGCTACTGAATCCTGAGTAAGTGAATAACGCGATGCAGTTTGAAGCGAACAGTAGTGGATTCGAGTCCGAAAGTGAACATCAACTCTGAGATGCAGGTACATCCAGCTAACAAGTCCCAAATAGGACGAAACGCGCGTCATGAGTTCCACCGCTAGCCACTATTTATCTTTGCATATATTTCAAATACTTATATCATTGCTAGCAAGGATATGAATCATTTCTTTGTTAAAAATTTCACCTAAATTTGTATCAGGTTTTGTCGGTATATGTGAAGCTTGTTACGTATAACTCGATATGGTCATTTTTAGCAAGTTTTATTAGAATAGATGAATTGAGGCTAACAGTAGAGAACAGGACTCCGTGTTACTTCTTAGCCCAAACTTCAGTCAAGATTATCAAAAGCAGGACATTTTAAACCCTTTTTATTCATGACATAAAAATCATGCCCATTGGACAATTAAGTTGTTATCTTAACTTGATAGTTTAATGGATACCGAATAGAGAGTTTGAAGGGAAAGCTATTCAACTCAAATCTCAATATGAACATCAATACTAGGATACTGTATGTATCAATCTAACATTAAAACATGGCTCAAATGTAGTCAAGATACTTAAACTTAGAGTCACCTTGGTACCTAATCAATACTAAGCACTACAGAATGTGATATTACTTATTGATGATTAGTTAGTGTAATCATCTCGATATATTAGGCTAGCAAGGCTGAGTTAAAATCAACAGTTAAGTATTATTTAAGACATTGCTTAAATATCCTAGAAAAATGTCGTCTCTAGTCAGATTTCAGATACACTTTGTTGATGATTGGTCACTTACAAGAAATTTTAGTCAACCAAAGCTTCCAGTTCTATCTCCGTAAACACCTAACATAAACATTTATGGTTTCTACTAGAAAATATCTATCATTTTATAGAGCATTTTTACTCAAGTTTTAAAAATAATAACATTTACCATCTAGCTGAATAATATCCGAAAACGATTTTTGTATAGTTCCAGACAGAACCTAGAAAGTATTCAAAACAATATTAACTCCTAGAAACATCATATTCAGCAAATACATAAGCTTAGAAAATAAGATTGACACACTCTCAACACTTATGTAATAGAAGTAAAGTTTATTTATTTATTTAAATAAAAATATTCTGTTTTACTGAGCGGCCTATGCTCCTTCACGAGGAGTAACAGGCGTAAGTAAGTAAGTAAGTATTGTGTTTTACAAACGTATGTGAGTCTCAAATGTAAACCTTGCAATTAAATCATCTAGCTCAAAGAGCACAATGTTACTAAAATGAATCCATCTGAACTATTAATCTTCTATATTATTTTAAAGTGAATTATTAGATGAGACTATACACCTACTAATTAGGACTAACTAAGGGTTAGAAAGCAGTTAGAATTCTCATTTACAATTGATAATTAGGGCTAAGAATTAGATTTAGGATTTTCATCATGAACTAACATTAACTATAATGCCAAAACTCTATTTAGGGCTGCAATTAAATGTAAGTCGAGTTCGTAAACGTGTCAGTCGGCTTAGCAACTAATCAGAATGAAGCAGGAATTATTATATCCACCATTTTTGTAAGTAATGACGGTCAGCTTTCTTCGTTCTGTGTTTTTTTTTCTAGGCTATTTCTTTTGTGTAGCTACATAATGTAATGTTTCAGTGTGCCAAAATGCCGCAGTTAGTGTATTACTCCTTCGGTTCAACTTTGTTTTCTGAATTTTTGCTACTTCTACTCAAGTCAATATATTTCTTCAGGCAAGTTCGCTAATCTTATGTTATAAAATATTAATCCGATTTGTTTTGAGTATTTCTTTTTTAGATATCGTGATTCGAAGTTAGTTTTTTTTTTCCCCAGCTAAAATAAGTGTTGTTGCCACATGGGATTCTAACTATCCGCATATTTGTTCCTAACTGTCAAGCAAGTTCTCTAGTCTTATATTATAAGATATTAAACGGTTTTGTTTTGAACATGAATTTCGCGCCAAAATTCGTGACTTGTTATCTTAGATCTGATTGGTTCACATTCATAAATTATAGTCTCTCTGTAGTCAAATTAAACAATCAACCATTTATTTTTTCACTGATAAAATCTATATAAATGTTTCTCTTCATATCTTCTTTTTTTTTAAAAAAAAGTAAATATACATATGTCTATATTGAAGATCAAATGAATCTTATCTACCGTCAATCTATTTGTATTGTATCCAATTGATAATCTACCATCTGGTGAATAGTACCATATAAATTTAGTATAAAACGAAGTTTGAATTATATATTCTGATCTATTGTTATATTGTTTAAAGTATTGTTCATTGAACTTGTAGATCTAGTGAGCTTGTAATGTTGATTACTATATTATGACCCATATAAATTATTCAAACTTATTCTAGACAAGCCAATTTATTCATCATTCTTCTTGAGTTACATTTTGATCTTATTAATTTGTCACTTATCAATATTGATTGTTTTTATGTAAGAATTTGAGTGTACACTTCTTATTATACTCATGACATGTTTGTAACTTATTGATTAAATGGAATTGGCTTACATACTTTCGCTACTGTAGGCTGTGTCATTTCGCTTCACTTTCTTTCCTTCGTCTCATTCTACTGATTGTCTGTCTATTCAGTAAAGCGATCTAAGTTGATAATTATAAACGAGGATTGACAAATATGTATATTTTAGTAACAATCAAACATACGATCTACTCGAAGTCAGATCCTGAGCCACAAAAAGCCTATCTTAAGTAAATAGCAAACTATGTTTACAGTTAGAAATTATAATGGGAAAAGATGTATACTTTCATCGTCAGCTATAAAAAAGTATTGAGTTATTAACATTTTCTTGATTTGATATACATTAATTAAGTTATTCAAATGATATTCTAGATACTCCTTAATCTTATTAACCGGTGAGAATTTCTTTCAAATATATCTTCACTAGTATAGAACATGAACTACACATTTGGGTTTATAGCAATCTACCATTTCAAATCTGACCTCTGTGTATAGAAGGGTCATGTACAACTCTTTATTCTCCCATGATCTTAGCACTCCTAATAGTTATTACCTTCTTCTTCTTCTTCTTATACTTCTACTATATAGACAGTTATCATCAACTTTTATTGTATAGATCATTATCTCTCATTACTTACAAATCTATTATATAATGTAAGCTCTTAATAGTTTAATGATACGTTAGAAACTAAATCTTTATTTCAGTGCAGTTCAAGTCATTCAAATTATGCTACAAAATAGCTATATCACAAATATAAATATCATTCTTTTTTAAAGTTAACATTTATGGTGCTTATCGTTTGATGAAATTATGCTCATATAAAAACAAAATAGCTTTTCAATTAGTTTGGAATTGTATCATCTCCTGTAAACCTATAGTCGATTTGTTGAAAACTGGTAACATTGTTAGGTGTACACTTTTGGTTGAATCAGTAAATAACCATACAATTTTATTAGCGTTCGTTATAATGATAAGTTAGTAATCCAACAACAAAAAAGAATCAACGAAAACCTGGAATCTCTGGAAAGTGGTTTCGTCCTAGTATAGGACTAATCAATAGTGTGTATTCACGATCCTAGACGCGAGACTCGAACCCAGGACCTTTGGTCCATCATGCGAACGCTTTAGCTATATATATATATATATTCCTCCGCTTGTTTCTGATTCGTTCTCTCCCACAGTAGGTTGTTGCTGATAATGTCTGGCCAACGGATTCGAAGTATTTTGCACAAACAACTATTAATAAAGACTTGTATCTTCTGGAT